CTGGCAGACAGCCGAGGACAGTGCTGTCGTCCATATCTCGGCCGAGGACAAAGATCAAAGTCTCCACCCACGCGTTGCGGCAGTGAGGTCAGCGGAAAGCTGGAGCCATCCTTCGCGATTACCGACCAGGACTCGCAGCATCCCTCGAGTATGATTGGCGCGTCCGCGGCGAGCTCGTCGCCGCGGTCGCGCTGCATATGTGTGTACATACACGTACGTGTATGCACTTCCAAATGCCCGCGCCCGCCGTGTTTGCTTCTTTCAGCGCCGGCTTCGTTCGCAGTAAAAAGAAAACCAAAATCACGGCGGCCATCCGCGCGTATCTAGTGTGCGTGTCAGCCTCCTGCGAGCTGCGTCCTGGAGCTAGCAGTGAGGCGGCCGGCGGTGGGGCGAGGGGGGGGGGGGGGTATGGTCCCGTCGGCGGGAGGCTGGGTCTGTCAGCAGGCGGGGGGGTATGGTCTCGAGGTGGGTACGTGGCTACCATACCATACCCCGCAAAAAGTCCGAACCCGGCCGGGAAACTATGCTCGCGCGCAGGTCTCTCCTCGCCACCCTCCTCGCCGCTGCAGCTGCCGCCGCCACCGAGTGGCCAGACTGCAGCCCGCGTGCGGACGGGCATCCGCCGTTCAACAGCAGCCGCCCAGGCCCGTTTGGCTCGCCCGTCCGACTCAACGCGACTTGGATGCACCGCCCTATCGTGGTGCTGCACCCCACGGCGCGTCGCGCCTTCCCTCTCCTCGTGTTCATGCACGGCGCCACGGCAAAGATCGAGATGTACCTGCCCGTCCTCGAGCTCTACTCATCGCACGGCTTTGTCGTCGCCTTTCCGTACATTGAGAGCCCGTCCGGGGACACTCGCCCTCTCACGCTCAACACCAATGGTGAGTACATCCTCCGGGCACTCGACTATGCCTCCGCGGCCGCCTCGAACGCGAGCTCGCCACTGCACGGGCGGGTCGACATGGGCAGCGTCGTCCTCGCGGGCCACAGCATGGGCGGCACCTGCGCAGTCATGGCGGGTGTCCGCGTGCCTGCTGCGCACGAGGTCGGCGTCCGGCTCGTCGTCACGCAGCACCCGGGCATCTGCGGCCCGCTCGGCCCTCCTCCCTGGCCGTCCACGTGGGAGGAGCACCATTGCGGAGGAGGCGAGCGGTCACCCGCCTTGTCTCTGATCACAGCGCTTCGGCTTCTAGGAGCACGACTTGCGTACCGTCTCCTCGCGCTCCCCGCTGCTGCTGACCACCGCCACCAACGACGGCGCCTTCTGGCCGGCGCCGCTGACCGCACAGCACGAGCGCGGCTGCTTCAAGGGGGCGCTCGGCGGCGGCGCCACAGGCTCTCAGCACCCGGCCTTCTTTGTACAGTTCTCAACGGCGGCCTGCGCCGAGGACGGCGCGCGCAGGCCGTTTGCGGATGCAGGGCACGACTGCGCCTTCAAGGCTGGCGTCGAGACGCCGTGGGTCCTGTCCGCGATGAAGCTGTACGCGCAGCAGCGCGGCCGTGCCAGCAGCCGCTGCGCGAGCATGCTGCTGGGCGGTGGCGCGGGCTCGCTCAAGGCGGACCCGCTCGTCGAGTTGTCGCTGGTGGCGGGAGAGCGGGAGCTTGGTGGGGGCGTCAGGGGTAAGGAGAGCGAGAGCTGATTCTGTGTGGCGGTGAGAGAGAGAAGAGTGCGTGTGGCGTCTGTTTTCTTTCTTTCTTAATATTTCTTTCTTAAAAAAATCAAACATTTTTCCTTGAGCTCACCCACAAAGCCCGCCCTCGCACCTCCTCTTGCCACGATGAGAAACCAGCGACGGGGCAGGTTGCGTTCGTTTGTCACTCGCCATGCGCGTCCTTGGCTGACCCTCCAAAACTCCCTCCCCGCCGTTCGCGGCTCGGCTTGCGTATGCGGTTGGGAGCTTCGAGGACATGCAGGCGTCCCACCCCCTCCGGCCATCCCCCCGGCTCCCAAGCGCGCGGCCGCGACGCGCTGCGCACCCTCTTCCGCGCTGGACCCGCTCTCGGCATGGCCGTCGTCCGCCGAGATCACCTCCTCTTCGCGCCGCAGGTGCACAACCAAGGGCTGGCCACCTCCGTATCCATCATGGTGAAGCCAATGGGCCAAAAAGGGAGAGCGCTCCCCTCCCAGGTGGCCGGAGGGTACACCTCGGGTCGGCGTGCTGGGGGGGGGCGCCGGTGCGCAAGCCCACTTTCCGGGCGACCCCGAGGGGGAGGAGGCCGGGCGAGTGGCAGCAACTCACTGTTAGTGTCCCGGGCCGCTGCGGCGCCGTTTATACGGCCCCTCGTGATGTCTTTCCGATTTTGCATTGTGAGTCGTCCTCTGGCCAGCCGAGGGGCACCAGAACGGCATGTGTACTGGTGCTGGCTGCGGGTGCGGAACGGGCTTTTTTTAACTCGCAACCAACTATACTATACAAGGACACCCTCGGGGGGGACACTCGGCGCATGTGCGTCACGTCAGGGTGGAGTTGGCAGTGGCCGAGCGTCGTCTCCCAATCGACTCGCAGCGCGGAGTCGAGGGGTGAAGCGCGTCGCGCTGCGACACTCGAGAGCCGGCGGGATAGCCGTGGGGCGCGGCCGACTTTGATGTCCTCGAAGGTCCGGTGCTCATTCGTCCTCTGAGACCCACGCGGACAGGAAAGGGGCGAGAACGCGGCCATTCTCCATTGACAATCTAACGCAACCTTGAGCTAGCCCGTTCCACACAGTGGCAACGGCGTGACTACATCTACATCAAGGCAGCGAAGCCATTCGTTCGCACCGCCGCCATCGGCGCCAGCGCCTCCCACGCATCCAGCGCCGGGTCGTACCGCTCCACCGAGCTGAGTGAGTTGTGGCCGGCATCCTGTCCGCCCACCGCGTACAGCTTGCCATCGAGCACCGCCACGGCGTGATATATCCGCGCCTCTGCCATCGGCACCACCGCCTCCCACGCGTTTGTCGCGGGATCGTACCGCTCCACCGAGCTGAGGTGGCCGTCGTCGGCGTCGTACCCGCCCACAGCATAGAGCTTGCCGTCGAGCACCACCGTGCCGGGCTTGCTCCGCTCCTCCCCCATCGGCGCCACCGCCTCCCACGCTTTCGTCGCCGGATCGTACCGCTCGACCGAGCTGAGGAAGCCGTCATCGTCATTGCCGCCGCCCACAGCGTACAGCTTTCCGTCAAGCACCGCGACGGCGGGAGCCTCCCGCGCGACTGCCATCGGCGCCACCGCCTCCCACGCGCTCAACGCCGGATCGTACCGCTCCACCGAGCTGAGGAATTGGTCGTCGTCGTTGAAGCCTCCCACAGCATACAGCTTGCCGTCGAGCACCGCCATGCCGTGATTCTCGTGCACCGCCATGGCGTGAGAATCCCGTGCTGTCGCCATCGGCGCCACCGCTTCCCACGCTTTCGTTTCAAAGTCATACCGCTCCACCAGGTTGAGAGTTGCGCCGTCAGCCTCGCTCACGCCGCCCGCCGCGTACAGCTTGCCATCGAGCACCGCCGTGCCGACATACCTTCGTGCCGTCAGCATCGGCGCCACTGCCTCCTCCCCCTCCCACTCATTCGTTGACGGGTCGTACCGCTCCAGCGAGTTGACAAACTCGCCCATGCCGTCGTGGCCACCGATCACGACCAGGCGCGGCCTCTCGCGCTTCTTCAGCGTCTCCTTCCAGCCGCGGCGCCACGCGCGGCACGTGCCCTTGACGGCGTGCTCCTTGGTCGGCAGCTGGGCGAGGATGTGCGGGGCGAGGTCCGGCGAGAGGAGGACCTCGGAGAGCACCCACTCGGGCTGCTCCACGAGCCGTGCGGCGTGCTCCTCCGCCACGCGCAGCGCGGCGTCGCTCGCGCCCGCCTGCGCCTCGATGATGGCGCACAGCTGCGCTGGCGAGAGGCCCGCGACGCGGGCGCCGATACGGTGGGAGGCCATTCGGCTATAAGGAAGACACCGCGGATTTCTTTTACAGCCTATTTTCTGCGTGAAACCGTGAAAAGAAATCTGCGTGATTCGGTGCGATCCGCTGCCGATGGCTCTATCGACGGCTCTCGGCTGCCTGCTTCTGCTCCCGCCGCTGCGACTGCCGCACGTCGCGCCTCCTCGCCGCTGCCCACCGGCCGTGGCGCTGGATGACGCAGACAACCTCGAGCTTGAGATGCTCCTCGACGCCATCGAGAGCCTCCGCAACAAGGTCTCTTCAGACGCCGCCGCCGCCGCCATGCAGGCGGTCCGCGACCAGCGCTCGATCGACAGCTTCATATCGGACCTGCAGGCCGAGGTGGCAGAGGCTGGAGAGGCTATCGAGCGGGATTATCAGCTCCTCGCACTCAACATCGAGGAGCAGTCGGCGGCGTTCGGGCGCGAGAAACGGAACGCCATGGCCGACCGCGCCGCGACGCTCCTCTCCGAGCTCGAGGCGGCGGCTCCCGCATCGTTTCGCAACCGCAATGCGCTGGTCGCCGCTTGGAAGCACATTCCGCCTCCCTCGGGAGCCTTCTAGGAGCCTTCTCGGAGCCTTCTCGGAATGGTCCCGCAGGTGGCCACTTCAAAGGACAGCCGCCTCCGACGCGGC